AGATATCACTTTATAATTATCTAATCGATATTGACAAATAACGAAACGATATCATTTTGATATTGTTATAACAATAATGATTTTTTTTTAATAAATGCAATATCAATATAATATTATTTTAATATTAATTCAGTATCAAAATAATATCAAAATGATATTATCTATAAAAATATCAAATCAATCAAATATCGTTAAATTCAATTTTATAATATTTTAATAATTTGTAATCTAATTTAAAAGTTAATTTCAATAGATTTAAGTTACCGGTTATTTATTACAATAACAATTTTAATTACAGATAAAGTATACTTGTAGCCGAAACCCCCTTAGTTTCGGCCAAGGTTTTGGCTTTAGGTTTCGGCCAGTTTCGGTTTACAAAACTATTTTCCGAAACCGAAACCCTGGCCGAAATCCGAAACCTTGGCCGAAACCTTTTATTAGGCCGAAACCCTAAAATGGAAATCAGATCAGTCGATCAGATCAACTGATCTAATCTAATCTCTTTTTTTTACATCACGTTCACTTTTCTCTATACACGTTCTTTACATTTTCCACTTTACAATTCACAATTTCACATTTCACAATTTACCGTAGTTATTTTATATTTTATATTCTATTCCCCTAAAATCTTAAATGTTAGAAAATAGAAATATAAAATGTCATCCAATTCTTCAAAGAAAATAGGTGGACGACCTATTAGTAAAATATGGGAATGGATTATAAAAGGAGACCCTGTACCTAATTCTAAAGGATACTACTCGGCAACTTGTTCATTTTGTGAATTTCATTGGACCACAGCTAAAGTGGCGAAACTTAAAAGACATCTTGCTTATGATTGTAACAAGATTGATTCTGAAACAAAAATCAATGTCTTAATGATGTTAACAAGTAATGAAGATTCAGAGGATGATAGTACTACAACATCAACCACTAAATCTAGTAAGAAACGAAAATCAAGTGATACTAGATCACAGACTTGTATAGATGATCATTATGAAAATTTTCCTACTCCACTAGTCAAAGAAGATCAAATTAATAAAGCATTGGCAAAAATGTTTGTATGTTGTAATTTGCCATTTTCTCTTATTGAACACCCCTTCTTTATCGAATTTATTAAGATTTTACGTACTACTTATAATCTTCCAAGCCGTTGGGTCCTAACAGAAACCCTTATTATTCAGGAAGTATCCAGAATTACACTCAAAGTTAATAGAATAATTGAAGAAGAAAATAATCTTACCATTGCTTTTGATGGGTGGACCAATTCCACTGGGCAATCAATTTATGATTATTGTTTAATTACTGAGGAGCGTAAAGAATATTTATGGTGTTCAAAGAATTATTCTGATGTCTCCCATCATACTGGCGCATTTCTTGGCAATGAAATCATTAAAATTGTAGATGATATTGATCCTGAAAAAGTGGCTGCGGTAGTTTCAGATAATGCGCCAGATGCGCGTGTTGCTCGAAGGATTCTTTGTGAAAAATACCCTCATATTCTTAATATTCGATGTATAGCTCATTGTATTAACATAATTACGAAAGATGTATGCAAACACACATTTGTTGCAGATACAATTCGGAAAGTTGGTGTGATTCATCAGTATTTTACAATGTCTCATGCTCCATGCCAATTCCTTAAAGATTCTGTCAAAATTTTACAAATTAAAGGAGGAGGATTAAAAAGTCATACAAAAACGCGTTGGTCCACTATGTGGAACTGCATTAATTCTATTGTAAGACTTGAGTTTGCTTTGCGAGGGTAAGTGTTCATATGTATATTACATTATTTAATAAATTATTATGTAATATTTATTAATTATTTAATTTATTATTTTTTATTTAATTTATTTAGGTTCTTTCAGAACATGGAAATGATATCAAAAATCGGGTCAAAGATATTCTTTGTGACCGAAATTTTTATGAAAATTGTCGAATTATTACATCCATTCTTCATCCACTTAAGGTTACAGTAGGATGTTTAGAATCAAGAACATCATCACTTGCTGATTGCTATATTCATTTATTGTCATTAGCAAGTGCAGTTTATCGTATGCCAAACCAAAATATAGAATTTAAAAATCATTGTGTGATTAAATTTAATGAACGGTATGACGAATTTTCTGATGATCTTTTTCTTTTGGCATTTTTTTTGCATCCTCGTTATCATGGTAAGTTGTGATTTATTTATTTTAAAAATTTATTAATAATTAGAATCATTTATCATAAATTTATTCTTATTTTATTTTTTTTTAGGTAATGGTATAAATCCAAGTAAGATCCATAATATTACTGTCAAAGCAGCACAGATTTGGAAGAATATGGGACATGATCAAGAATCATGTGGAAAACTACTTTCTCAAATGCGAAAATACATGAAAAATAAAGCACCATTTAATCAACATTATAATTATAAATCAGATACACCAATCATTTGGTGGGAAACTGCTCAAAATACTAAGGAAGAATGGGAATTACAAGCTTTAGCACTTCGGCTTTTTGCTGTATCTCCACACAGTGCTTCTTGTGAGCGTTCCTTTTCAGTTTTAGGATAGTTTTATAGTCAAAGACGTACAAAATTAGCTGTAGATTGGGTAGAAGGTATGTGTAAATTGCATACTTATTATATTACAAATGCAAAGCGTGAATTGCCTTATTATGCAGTTGATACTTCTGAATGTTCATTACGTGAAAAAATGATAGATAGTACTTTAACAGAAATTAGTGATGAGTTAGTTGGTGAAGGAGATTATGATTTTTTGTATGAGGAAAATATAATTGATACAATTATTGACATGTCTAAAACGTATAATCTAAATGTTGCTTTAGATATAGATATTGATTCACATATTTTTAATATGGAACGAAATGAATCTGAAGAAGATGAAGTAATAGTTAGTCAAAGGAGACAAACTGTTGTATTGGATCCAGAACGTGAAGATTATGATATTGAGGCATTGATAGCTAAAGAAATGAATGATGATAATGGGAGTTAAATTTTATTGATTTTATTTTAATTTTAATATTTTAACAATTTTATATATAGAAAATTTTAATCTTTAGTAATTTTTTATAATTTTTAGTTTATTTTTTAGTAATTTTTAGCTTATATTATAACAATAATATCATTAATGTAATCATAATTAGTAATAAGTATAATAAAATAAATAAATAAATGCATTCTTAGGTTTCGGCCTATAGTATAAAATTTAAAAATTAATTTCGGCCTATATAAAGTTTTGGCCAGAGTTTCGGATTTCGGTATTAGTTTCGGACTAGAGTTTCAGACTTTCGGATTCGGCCATACCCTTGAGAGGTTTCGGCTACAAGTATAAGATAAAGTATACATTAGTTTAAATATTATATAACAGATAAAAAAAAATATCAATAAATCTATAATAAACTAATTCAATAAATTAGAATTATGAGTTAAATTGGTGATGTAAGTCAAAACATTATGCTTTAATACTCCAGAATCATAACTCATCAACCCAAAGTTGAGGATTAACCGGGTACCTTGCTTTAGATTCAGCGACACTGCCCAAGTTGGATGGGGTGTCACAGGTACGCTTTAAGAAGACTTGCTATGACTCTATTGCAAAAAGGATAAGTATATTCGAAAACACCAGACATAAATTTACCTCAGAAGTTTGGCGGGAAACCCTTATAAACAACTGCAGTTTCATCATTACCAAAATCATTGAACTTAGGGATACAATGAAAAAGTTCATGAGAATGACGGCTTTAAAAAAAAAAATACAAATATATTTTCAACTTTGACAATGCACCCTTATTCTTTGGCCTGGCATATGTGCCAATTTTTGGATTAGTCTAAATTAAGATTTTTATAAAAATTTAATATTTTAGTAAGATTAACATTACACAAATCTAAATTAAATATGTGTTACATATTTACATACGTAACTCTGATTTAATAAAAAATAAAAAAATTTTTTTAATCAATATTCAAAAATAATGGTAATAACCACTTCTTTTTCCCCATTACTGCCCATCACTTTTCCATCATTTTTCTATTCACTTTTATTAAATATGACAAAAAAGTTTATAAGCAAATATAGCAGTTATTTTTAAGTGGTAGGTAAAAGAAAAAACTTAATATTTTATATACATAGATAAGACATATTTTTTCATAATTTTTAGCTTTAATTTATTGTTTTTTTTTTGTAAAAAATACATGCAAATAAAAAATAATTATGATGTAAAATAGTTGTAAAATGAATAATAAGATATTCTTTTTTTTTCAAAATAACTAATTATATATTTGTTTTTTATCTTTTAAAATTATTTTATTAGATTTATTCTACTAAAATCCTTAAATGGCAAATAAAATCTTTTAAATAAAGTAAAAGAATTTGGGATTCTCTTATGAAAGCATTTTTTGGTAAGAAATAAAATTTTCAGATCGGACTTTATGCAGGTGACAAAATCGTGCATTATTATTCCTGGAGATATGCTAACGTTATCATTTTACATTCATTTGAAAGCTGAGAATTTGCTCTATCGTAAGAATCAAAGATCAGGAAAATTGGATCACTGGATGAGGCGTAATTAACGATCAAAGTCAAATCAAATTTAAAAATTAAAAATAAATATATTAGACGTAATTATTCACAATCCAGTGATTCAATTCATTCGATTTTAGGCTTATTAGATAGACCTCAATTTTCTCTTTCAAATGAATATAATTTCATTCGTGTAGCTTGCATCTACAGGTATTTAATAAATTTTTTTATATCAGATTTTATCAAATTTATAAAATTTTATATTAATAATATAATTGATGATTCCTAAACATCTACATATATTAAACGAATTATTTTAAATTTATTTTAAAGATAAAAGTTGGCATCACCTTAGGGAGCAAAGATCATTCAAATTGAATCACTACATGTAAAGTAATTAATGATCAAATTTAGATAAAATTCAATAAATATACTGAACGTGATTACTGAACAACTAGTGATTCAATTCATTTGATTTTAGATTCATTAGATAGATCTCAATTTTCTCTTTCAAATGAATGTAAATTTATTTGTATAGCTTATTTCTACAAAGAATTATTAATGATTTTGTCATGAGAGTTATATTTGATCTTTCAAATTTTAATGATATCTTATATTAAAAAAAAATTAAAAATTATATAATTAATTAGTTTTTTTTTGCATTATTTAGTATAAATTTATTATTTTTATATAAATGATAATTTATATTTGCTTTAATAAAATTATTTTTGTATAAAAAAATTAGATTTCAAAAATCGGCCCATATGATCAAAATAATAATAAAAATGACATCGAAACAACATCTTTAAATTTAATTTAAAAATGTCATTTCGATATCATTTTAATTATTATTTTGATATTATTTCGATATCGATTTAATATTAAAATAATATCAAAATGATAATACTTTATTTTAATATCGTATCGATATTAAATCTATATTGAAATAATATCGAAATGATATCGAAATGATATCGTTAAGATAAACTTAATGATATCGATTCTATATTAATTAAAAATATTAATTGCCGATCTGCATGTGATCGATAGAATTTACATAGTAAAATGTGGCATTATGTTAATTAATAAAAAAAATGCCGTTTGAAATCTCTGTTTTCCCAAGAAACAACAATGTCAAATATATACATAACTCCCAAAAAACTTGTTGCAACTGACGCTATTATATCAGAACTTCATTATTATGTCCATATTTATATGACTTGTTTATTATTTTTTAAGAAAAAAATTCAAGATAATTACTCCTATTTTGAAATTATGCTAAAACTTAATAAAAGTCCTTTTATTATTCATATATTTCATTATATTCATATTTTTTACAAACTGGACATATTTGTGAAAGAAAAAGAGATATAAAAGTGCGTAGTGTTATTAAAAATGTAATAGTTGACAGAAATAATAATCAAAAAAAGTTTTATAAGCGTCAAAGAAAAGTTAAAAAGTTTATACCATAGAAGTAAAATAGTAGTAAATACTATGAAATTTCCATTTCCTACATATAAAACTTTATAAACTGCAAAGAAAAAAAACTTTTTATAAAAAAATTTTTTTTTTCTAAGATCTTAAACGTATATTGCAGGTGTTAAATTACGCAATTGTATAACAATATGGTTGAATTTTATTTGATATAAAAACATGATCGACATGGCTTATATATAAAAGTTGCACCGCATTTTATTATATAAATTCTATCAATCACATGCGGATCAGCAATTAAGTTTCTGTAAAGTACTATAAAATCATATAACTATAACGTAATTTTGACCATTTCAACTTTTGGAGGGGCTCAAGTCGAAATTATTTCGACCATTTCAACCATTTCAGAGGTCAAAATTAACAAATTTTAGTTTCATGTATAATTGTATTTATTATATTTATTGCAATATTCTATCCAATATCCTATCTAGAAATCAGAATATCAAAATTAAATCGATAAGAATCGATTTTAAATTGAATATTGAATAAAAATCAAATCTACTTATTATAGGACCCCGGATATCTCCAAAACAGGTCATAAGTCACACTTTCGGCAGATTGGCCCATTTTTATTTCAGGGCTCAAAAAATCGTTTTTTGTAAATATCTCAGCATCCAGTGGTCCAATTTTGATGAACTTTTTTTTAAATTGTAGAGCTAAATGAGGGCTACAAAATAAAAAAAGTTCATTAAAATTGAATTACTGGATGCTGAGATATTTACAAAAAACGATTTTTTGAGTTTTAGCAAAAAGGGGTGTTTTTGGCCAAAAGTCCATTATGACCTTTATATTAGATATCCGGGGTCCTCTTATTATAGCGCAGTATCGTTAGTTTATAATACAATCTAACCTTGATATACCAATATTTGATATATCAATATATTATTAAAAACTTGATATACTGATAAAATTTTATTTTTCCACTATATGTGATGATATATAAATATCGGTATAACTTTGATATAATGATATTTTCTAAAAATTTTATATATATCCCAATATATCGTTATATAAAGGTTTGACTGTAGTTTACAAGGTTAATTTTAGCCAAATTCATACTTTACTAAAAATGGCCAATTTTTTGAAATATTTTTATAAACCTAGATACAATGGCTTTTAAAACAATTGTGCAATTATTTTGTAAAATTTTTAAAATATATCAAGATATATTTAAGGTATTTTTGAAGGACCCCGAACAATATATATATAGGTCAGATAAAAAATTTAAAATTTACTAAGGTCAATAAGCAAATATTTTTCATGTTTGCTAAGCAAACTTTTATCTAACCCATAAATTTTTTACACTGCTAAGCAACTTATTTTATGACATATATATATTTATATATAATTTTTTTTATAAAATATGTATATAAAAAAAACTAAAAAAACAAAAATTTTTGAAATAATGTATGGATAAAGCTATTATTATTTTTTTGTAATATTACAACTTATAAATGTTTCTTATTAATATTTCGTATATCTGTTCTGTGACTTCAGAGCGTAATTTAGGCACTTTAGTCAAAGGAAACATCCAACACCTTCTTAAGTAAAGTTGTTTAGCAGGTTCGAATCTACTTACACATATATTTTTATCATGATTGAATAGATATTTATGGATTTATTCATGTTTTTTGTAACGCCACCAATACGCGGAATTTTTATTTTTAAAATTTACTGTAAAATTTGTCAAAAAAAATATTTTTAAAAAATTTTCTAAGTAAAAATGAAATAACTTTTATTCAAAAATTATAGTGTAAAATTATAAAAAAAACAGAAAAACACTTATTTTTTCCTTCTCACCCACCCGTTGCTCTCATTTTAAATATATATTTTTAACTGTTACACGGACACGTATATGATTTTTGATTTTAATGTTATGCGGATGCGTATTTGTTTTATCTAGGGGATAGATAAATAAACGGGGAGCCAACTCAAATGTTACATAGGCTGATCATTACTGACAAAACTGAAGCCTTATATAAAATTATATGAAATTATTAGAAGTCTTCGTAAATCGTTACTATATTTAATATAAAAAAAAAAATGCTTTAAATAATCATGAACAAAAAAATCACGCGAAATAGATATAACACGTACCTATCTCTGGTATAAATTTTATTTCGTTTCTGCTCTTAGTTGTTTAAAAAAATAGGATCAGCTACTATATATATCTTTTAATTATACAAACAATTAAGGAAAATGGTAAATTGCAAAAAGAAATAGTTATTTTTAACTAAAAGAATTTATTTCTGATATTTTTTTTTACTATTAGGATGAAGAGAAAACCTTTTTTAAAGATATTGGTAATTCTTTACTAACAAAAAGGTCAAAAAAAACTGAGGCACTGCAAAAACTTATGCATATCCGACCTGATCTTAAAGGAAAATCAGTTTATTTTTTTCCAACGTTAGATAGATATTTTGAAGGCATATTAATGTTTGATGCGAAAGAAAAAAAAGCCTATGTATATAGTGTAAAAAATGATCGCAAATATGAGACTTTTTTTAAGTGGATGATTGGATTAAAAAATCAAAAATTATTCAAAGGAAAAAAATCGTCTCTTACAACTATTTTTTTGGAATCCAATCCTACCAGTCCATCAATTGCATCAATTTTACGCGAGTCAGATTATCCTTTATATTGGAAATCATCTATGCTTATGAGTCTTGAAGATATTTTCATGTTAATTCAAGAAAATATTTTGCTGGGAGGAAAGTTTGCTGAAATTACAGCACAGAAGATTAATGGGGGTCTTGAACTTTATTTTTTTAAAAAAGAAGGCAAATCACTAGAAAAAAAAATATTATTTATAGCAAAAGGTATTTTACTTGAATATGAAGTATATATTCTTAATCATGTATTGCAAGGAACGCATCTTCCCTTTCCAGTTAAGGCAGGGAAAAGGACTCTCAATGATATAAAAGATCTTATTCAATATGTTTTTTCTCTTAATATTTGTTATGGACAAAGTACCACTGGTAATTTAAAACTAAATTATTATTTTTTTTTGTTTTATGTATATTCTTACTTGTATTATTTAACAAATATCTTTAAAATTAAAGGTTTGGAAGATGTAACATATGTACGAGGAACTCAACTAGTTAATAATGCACAAAACTCTAGTAAAGAACATACTCCTTTCGCTTTTTTAGAAAAACAAGGTCAGCCCGATGAAGCATATCGGCATGTAGATTGTATGTTTATAGTGAAAAGTAAGAATAAAAATATATGTGAGAATTGTGAAAAATTGAAAAAGACAATGCAACAAATTCACCGAAGAATTTTAACTGGTAAAAATTCTATAAAAGTTATACATGCATCCAAAAATCTTCTTATAGAAAAAGTCAAAGAACAAAGAAAAAGTTATTAAAGTGCAAAGTATGAAAATTTCTAATATAAAAAAATATTTGGAAAAGAGAGTAGAAAAGGAAGAAGTAAAAATATCAGATGAGATGGCAAGCGTTGTTCATGATGTTACTAAAAATATTACTAGCAAAAATACAGATATTTCACATTTTCATCCTATTTTTGAGGAACTTATTCGTATTCAAACAGGAAAATCAAATGGAACAAGATATCATCCAATGTAAGAATTAAATAAAACTAATTAAAATCTACAAAATAATAACTTAATTTTATTGTTTTACAGGTTTTTACGTTGGGCCATATCAGTTTATAGCAAATCTGGACATGCGGCTTATAGTGCAATGAAAACAATTATGCGTTTACCATCAATATCTACACTTAAAAGTTATATAAACGAAAATGAACAATGTTCGGGATGGCAAAACAAAATTGTTAGTCAGATATTAGCAAATTTAACAGCAAACAATATTTGGGGATATGGACAGGTAGGGTTTTTTTCACATGACTCTTTTAAAATTCAAAAAGGTAAGTCATTTATTCCTAAATATATATAAAAATCTATCATATTTAAATAGATCTTAAATTTTACAACTTTAATAATATAGGTCTTCTTTGGGATCAACGTAAAAATTGTTACGTTGGTTATTTGGACTTTGAAAATGAAATGCAAGAATATAAAGAATTTGCTATACAATGTCAAAATGAAGTTGAATTTTCAACAGAAAAAAATTATTCACCAAATTCATTTGATCAAAAATATGGACTTGCAACTCAGATTCATCAATTTGTTTGGCATTCAATAACACATAATTTTTCCTTTCCTATAGCCTATTATGGCATTAATAATATAACGGCACACAACTTAAATACTTTAATTTTTGATCTTGCAGCAAAATTAGAATGTGTGGTATACAGTCAACTCCCTCTATAGTCACTCCCGTTATAGTCACATTCTACTATATAGTCACACCAGTTGAATGTTCAAAACACTTTATTATTAAAAAATATCCTATATAGTAACAAACTATCTATAGTCACTATCACACCTATCCTCAAAAATCTTATATAAAAAAGAACCGTTTATAATCACAGTTATATAAAGAATATATTAAATAACTTGGCATCTAATAATCGTACAAAGATGTACCATAGCTTGTTAGAATCGTCTCACTGAGACGAATCGAATGGTGGTAGTTTTATCCTTTTACGATCACTGGCTGATGAGTTATTCAACAAAATGTTAAGCATCGGCATTATTATAT